AGATAGGAAAGCAGGCCCAGCTGGCCCAGCTCTGAGTTCCGGTTTGGAGGGAAAACTGAGTGAGACCACATGGCAGAAAGGGCCTTTCAGGGCTTTCTGGGATGGTTCTTCTAAACATTTCTGATATTATGCTATTGTCCAGCAGGCTCTAGTCCCTGCCCGTAGCCTTCGGGCTCCAGTGGGTTCCAGGAAGGCTGGTGAGCATTAAGACACAGAAAGATGATTTAAAAAAAAAAAAAAAAGACACAGAAAGAAAGAAGCGGCCTCAGAAGTACAGAGGGCCTGAACCACCAAGGCTATTGTGGAGGGTGGGCAGCTTGAAAGATGTGAGGGGGAGAGGACACCAGTGTTCAAAAAGGGAGCCTTTCACGGGGAGACCAACGATATACCACAGGCAATCCTCTTTCCTGAAGGCAGGGAAGAAGAGGAGAGGACGAAAGCTAGGAGCAAGCAGAGAGGGGGGAGGGGGAATAGAAGAGGTGGGAAAGAAAAGGAAACAGTCCTGTGGTAGACAGTAGTAAAAACGGCAATGTTGGAGGAGGGTCCCTTCCTTTGCACTGAGGACAGTCCTTGGGCAATGGACAACCCCCAGCCCCCCGCATTCAGCATGCAGCAAAAAGCATCGACCCCTAGGCCTCCTCTCACTTTCCCTGCACAGGCTGCTTCAGTGCTCCGCAACTCCTACTTTAGCCCGCAAAAAAGGAACTTTCCACCCTTCAGTTCCCCGGAGGACCCTCTGGTGAGGAGGGACAGCAACAAAGTAAGGGCAGTACCAGGTGTAGCCACCAAGCTTTCTGGCTGGGTGAGCATTTCCTTCCCATGAACTCCTGCCCAGGGCTCTACAGGCGGCCAGTGGCAGGTCTGGACCACATCCTTGAAGATAGGCTTGCTGGGCAAAAGGCAGGGTCTGTGTTTTCATTCTTACCTCCTACTCAATTTCCCTGTCAGTTCAGAATCCAGAGGTGGAAATCTTTAGGGTCATGAGCCCAACACTTTCTAAGCCTCTCCCTGGAAGGGAACCCTAAGTTTTAGGCAGGGAGGCCCTGAGTTGGGCTTCAGTCCTGTTACTACTTGCGTGGCCTCGAGTAAGTCATGCACTAGTGATCACCAATTTCCTGAGGGACTGCCGCTTACAAAGTGCCTGGGGAACCCGGAGAGCAGTCTGTCACCTTCCCTGGCTTCAAGACATTTGGAGTGCAGTAAGAACAAAAAATCACATACACACACAGAGAGAGAGAGAGGAGCCCAGCCAGCTGTAATACACTCTATTTTATGCAGTGATTGGTTATAGTTATGGTCCCACAAAAAGGCTCAGGTGTTGGAAGCCTTGGTCCACAGACAGTGGATCTGATCCTTGAGCAGTGAGAGGGCCCCGGGGGCTCTCACTTAAGTGGTGGATGGGCACAATGATGGACTTGTAATCTGACGACGTCATTTGCAGGTGACAGAAACTTCCAGAGCCTGGGCCTGCTTGGAGGAAGTAGGTCACTGGAGTAGGTCCATGGGGTCTGTAACTTGTCCTGGACTACTCTCTGCTTCCTGGCTGCCAGGAAGCTAAGAGGCAGCCTCCTCTGCCTCACCCCAGGCCCAAAGCAATGGATGCAGCCAACCGTGGCCTAAAACCTCTAACGCTGTGGGCCCAAATAAATCCTTTCTCCTGTGAGTTGTTTCTGACAAGTGCTGGAAACCAACCAACACAAGCTCTGAGACCCAGAGCAGGGAGGAGTGTTCCATGGGGCACAGAGCAGGGGGGTAGGACTTGAGATGACAAATGGAGCATAGATAAAGAATATGGAGTGGGAAGGCTGTGGCTGCCTCAGGAGGTGGGCAAGAGCAAGAAGGTACAGAGAGATTTCGTGGACTTTCGTTGGCAGTGCCATCATTTGGCAACGAGGCCAAGATAGAACCTGGAAAGGATGTTGCCAGGAAGAGACCTCTGACCAACATAAGCATTTAGACCCACAGTTCTTTTCTCTTTTTTTAATAAATAAGTAAATAAATAAATACATTTTATTTATTTTATAAATTTTATTTATTACATTTATTTTAATAAATTGGAGTTACAGACAGTTGTGAGCTGCCATGAGGGTGCTGGGAATTGAACCTGGGTCTTCCTAAAGGGCAGCAGTGCTCTTAACCACTGAGCCATCTCTCCAGCCCCAACCCAAAGTGCTTAAAGTCCCACCTGCCTTAAAGTCTGAATCACACCTGAGCAGCTGGACTGCTCCATGCCACATCCCAAGGGCCAGCCTCTAATAAGAGGAAGCACAGGGCCACCTGGCTCTTCTCTCTCGCTCTACTTTAGGAGGCAGCTCTAGAAGAGGCCTGGAGCTAATCCAACACTTCTCAGTTTTAATCTGCTGGAGACCTCTGGGATGGACCTGGCCCAGGCTTCCCCCCTCCTTTGCCATCTCCTTCCAGTTTCTTCTTTCCTCTCTTGGCCTCACTCAGCTTCTTCCTCTGTTTTACTCTCCAGAGAGGAAGATTAAAAAATAAAAATCTGGGTCTTTCCAAAACAGATCCAGATACAGGCTCAAGCCTCCCCACTTCTGTGTCCTGGGATGGGACAAAATATAAAGGAATGCGGAGAAGTCAGAAGCAGAGGCCAAAAGCTTTTGCTTTGCTACTTTTAGATTTCAAGGTCCTTGTGCTCTCGCTCATCCACTCCCTCCTTAGTTCGCTCTTCAGGGAGTATTCAGATAGCATTTTTTGTGCACTGGGCCTGGGAGCATCAGTGGACAAAGCAGCCCACCTACTTTGGAGGAGGTGCCAACTCTCCTCCAGCTTATGGTGGTCAACAGAGAATAAACAGTATAATAAGTGTGCAAACTGCATAGTGTGTTAGAAGAGGAAAGGTTGTGGAAGTAAGGAAAACGAGACGTGAGAGGATAGCAGGACAGGAAGCAAAATGAGAGTGAAGACCAGAGTCCCGGAGGCCGGATCCAAGAGACGGTGAGGACAGAGTTTGTCTGTATGCACTCTGGAGAGAGCATCCTCCGCAAGGGTGGAGGCTGAGGAGCACCGTGGGAATGGGGGGGGGGGGTATCCTGAAGGGGAGTGTTAGCATGAGAGAGGAGAGCCATGCGATCAGGGCCTGGGCATCATTCTCTAAGTCTGAATTTAAAGAACCACACCCCTAAGGCGATGACCTCAGAGATACCCACTGTATCCTCTTCCGGTGAACGAAGACAAAGGCCTAGAGTCAGTCTGGAATCCACAGCTCCTGCCTTCACTGCACCAGAAACTGGGGCCCAGGGAACCCCTACTCAGGACACTAGCACAGCTGAGAGCTCATCAATCATCGCCTCACCAATGCTCTCCTGCACATCCCTCGGGTCGGAGCCAGGAAGCACAGGAGCTGAGCTCACTGCTTAGTTTAATTTCCCTGGTCAAAATGATTGGTTTTGGTCCGCGGTACAGAACATAGGAGAGACGGGAAGGTGGAGAAAGAAAAGGTGTCAGTCCAAGGGACACCACACTGCAGGCTTCACCCCCCCCCCCACCCCAAGCCTGGTCTTCCAGGTTGACCTTGGGTGACTCCCTCCAACTACCCCCAGCTCCGGTCCTTTCTGACCAAACCTGGCATCTTTTATAACGTGGCAATGAGAACAGAACTGAATCAAGGGTGTGCTCCGAACGCACACACGCACACACGCACGCACGCACGCACGCTATGCGTGCACGCATGCGCACACAGCTCGCGCATTACACATGCGCACTTTCTTTCTCTTTCCTGGGCATCAGGACCATTGCTCTGGTCTGAGGAACAAGCTGACAGAACCTTTCCCTACCTCTTCTCTTTCAAAGTCTTCGTGTGGTGATTCATCTTGATTGACAACTTGATGGGGTTTATAATCACCTTGGCAGCACATCTCTAGGTGTGTCCGTGAGATTGTTCAGAATGTTCAGTTTAATTGAAGAGGAGACCCACCAACACTACGCCACCGGCAGGGGTCCCCAAGTAAATAAAATGGAGAAAGGGAGGTTGGCACCCCCGTTCGTCTCCTCTGCTTCCTGACTGAGGACGCAGTGTGGCCCCTGCCACCACACCTTGTCTGCCATTATGCTCTGAACCCTCAAACTGTGAGTCAAGCCTTTCCTTCCTTACACTGCTTTTGTCACAACACGGAGAAAAAAAAATGGTATTGTCATTCTTATGCTCTTTGCCAGAAGCCATTTCCCTGCTTGACCTCAATATTCACACCAAGGGGACTTGCCTTTAATCCCAGAGCTTCCCTGACACCCAACACATAGACTAGAACCCAGGGGAACCCTTACTCAGAAGCTTAGATTTCCTCGTGTGTCCCCCTGCCGGGACTGTTCCTCCCCTTCTCTCCCAGATGCCTCTTCCTTTCCTACCTCTGCTCTTTGGAGAAAAAGCAGCAGGGCTCAGAGAGAGACAGTTGGCAGAGTGTTGCAAAACAAAGTTTGGGCTACTCACGCTACAGTGTGGACAAGGGGCTGTCTCCAGGCAGCTGGCCTGAAGTCCTTTCAAAACAACCTGTAGGTGTCCTTCCCAACCTCTCAGAAGTGGGACAGTGTTCTCATCTTTCACAGGAAAGAGGGAAGCCCAGGGAAAAGGAGTTTATGCACACAGCAAGCTTGTATTAAGAATCTGCTCAGTGACGGTACAGACGCTTATTAAATGCCTGCTTGCTGTTATAGAGGGATGAGTGCCAGGAAAGTGCCCTGGACTCCAGTCTGAGGAGCAAGGCAATTCCATGCCGGAGCCTCTCTGAAGGACTGGTGAGTTGTAGAATTTTTAGTGCTGTCCTCAGCCTCCACAAGCCTGTCTGTAAAATGGGTTCTCACTTTGCTGGTGAGATGAATTTATTTATTGAGGTGAGTAAGAAAACCCACAAAGAGACCTTCGAGGACAGGATCCTCAGGATCCTAGGAACTTCCCAGGGGAGGACAGCAGGCACTGGGGTGACGGGGCGAGGTGGAAAAACAAGGCTCTTCCACACCCCAGGAAGAGCCTCAAAGCCAGCGGCACTTACCGTCCTCACAGAGGTTCAGCTTGGACAGGCTCCTGCCATCGAAGGGCTCCTCAAAGATGGAGCCATTGTCACGGTCGCTCACGGTGTGCAGGTACATGGCTTTGTTGTCCATCAGGTCCTGGGGCAGCAGAGATGCACGCAGCACCGGGTGAGGGCGGGGTGGACAGAGGAGACACAGAGTCAGCCACACGGAAAATGAACAAATGGTAGAGCCGGGAGTTCACCGTATGGCCCCAGCCTGGAGAGGGGCCCTCTCCACACCCACAGGAGCTACGCATACCACCCAGGTCCTCAGGACCCCTCCATAAACGGCCCCTCCCCGCTCAGCGCTAGGAGGCTAAACCCTGGATAGTTTTCCCCGAATGGGATCCTTTCCAGACAACAGTTCTCTGTGGGGCTGGAGCCTTAGGCAGTGGACACCATGGCCACACCGGGCAGCACGTGGAGGAGGTGACTGCTACCCAAACGGTGAGTAGAGAGTAGCTTTTACCAGCGGTTCTCAACCTGTGGGTCTCGCCCCCTTTGGGGAGTCAAACAACCCTTTCACAGGGGTGCCTAAGACCATGGAAAACATAGAAGTTTATGTCACCGTTCATGACGGTAGCAAAATTACAGCCACGAGGTAGCAATAAAATAATTTCATGGTTCAGGGTCACCACAACATGAGGAGTGGTATTAAAGGGTCAAAGCGTTAGGAAGGTTGAGAACCACCGTGTAAGCCCTCAGTGGCCTGAGAGGGTCAGAGAATTGCAAGAGAGGAACTAGAGGCACAGGTGCGTTGAGCAGGTTTAGGATCGGCTGAGGAAGTCAAACGGTCCCTGACCCCACTGCAGGCTGTGGCAGGAATTTATATCCCAAGGCATCTAAGGGGTGAGAAGTCTCAGTAAGTCTTAATGGGCAGCTGTTGGCCAGGGTCTTCTGCCCACATGACTCCCTCCCCCAAGGCTGGGGGAGATTCTTTCACTCACAGTGACCCAGCCATGGAGTTTCCTACATCATCCCGCTGTGCCACGCATAACTGTGTGACTGGAAGCTATCCTCACAACCCGTGAGGATGGCTCAGGGCAGAAAAGCATTATGAGACCCAGGCTGGAAGGGATTTTCTAAGTTTTCTGAGATGTGTTTGCATTCTTTGTGTAATGAGAAAAATCCTTTTTATAAAGCCAATTTTCGAAGTGTTTGTTTACACAAAATCCTTTGACTTTTTCCTCACATATATGCCCTGTAATTTGACACATTGCCTTCGGCACAGTTCTAACTGGCCATGAGTTTACGTCAACTGTTTTCCTGATGCTCTTTAGCTATCTGGGTTAAATAACTCATAAAGAAGGGGGAGGGGGAGAAGAGGGGAAGGAAGGCAAGAGAGGTAAAGGGAGAAAAAAAAAAGTAAGTCAGATTGGGGTGGGTGTTTACTCATCTTTAGAGTAAATTTGGAAAAACAAATCTTCCAGGAAGATGGGTACAAGGTCAGCATAGAGCAGACCCACTGAGGCCCTGAGAAACAAGCAGGGGCCCTTGGCCTGGGCAAGGTGGTACAGTGGCTGGAAGGTGACTGCAATGGGCCTGGGAGTTGGCCCATCGTCCCTATTTAGGGGCGGCATCCATGGGGATATAAAAGGGGAACAAAGCCTGGAGCACGTGCTCTTTTCAGGACTTGAACTCGGTCTCCGGAGACTTGGCCTTTGGGACCGGGGAGAGGCTGAAACTGACCAGTGGCCTTTCAACTGTCTGTCCAACCACACAGGTGAGACAGGTTTTTCTGCTCTTCAAGTAATGAGATGCCACATTTCCCCACCCTGGTTCACTCACTCATACGTGCATGCATATATACATGCATACGTACATACATACATGTATGCACTCAGTCTCTTGGCCTTTCTTACAGGCTGTGTGAGGGACAGGAGATGAAGATGGTTCTTGGGTCTACCAGGACTTCTCACAGCTCTTGCTCAGACAGCTCCTGCTCAGCTTCTCTATGCCTCACCCCATGATGTCCAGTCTGCTAGTCTCTGAACTCTGGCTCTCCATCCAAGCCCTCCACCCAGCAAAAGGCCTCTAGGTGGGGCGCTGGGTGGCTCCAGCTCTGCTCAGCTCTAGGGGGATCCTCCCTGGTCTCAGGATGTGTGTGGTCCTTCCCCTCTGGCCTCAATCTCCAGGAGCTACAAAGCAGAGCGCCACTGTCTCTGCACCCGCAATACAGGGCAGGCAGCCCTGCTTTCATGCCACCTTCCTTCTCTCCTTACCAACTCCAGACCACTGTGATCTGGACCGCATTCGCTGGTGACCCCTCCTAGCCATCCTCTCCACCTCCTGGCAGGACTGAGCAACAGCCTAGGGGGAGCGTAGAGAAAGGGGCTGGGGCCCCAAGCAGGGCCAGATATGAGAGGGATGACTTTGACTTTGGAAATGCTCAATTCTTCAATGCTTGTAAACAAAATGTAAGCATGTCCTGCCTGCCCTGCTTTCAAGTATGGCTCTGCTTTCTCCTCTCGGAGTCAAGAGCAGATCCTGGACTCTGAGATCCCATCTTGCCACCTTTAGACCTAGTCTGTGCTTTCAGACATGTCACAAGTGGCTATCTAGAATATTGGTAAGAGTGCAAGCTGCTGGTGCATTGAACACAGCCCTTGGGCCTCAGGCTGAATGCCCTCGGGGACCTCCTGGGAGCACTCTGAGCCGGACAGAAAGATCATCATTTTATCATTCCCATTTTGAAGATAGCCTAACCAAGACCAAAGAGGCAAGAATGACAGAGCTGGAAATTAAGAGTAGAAGAGGCAGCCATTAGATGTCCAGGGTAGCCATACACTGCTCAGCCATGGGCTGCCGTATCAAAGATGTAAGTAGGAGTCAGTCACTTTCAGTGGCCACCCTCAGGGTCACTATAAGTCAGCAGGGATGGGCACACTTTGGAGAGTCAGCCAGGGCACCTCTGTAAGGACATGAGCAGAGGAGAGGGATGGAAGGGGGAACCTGGGTAACATGGATGGAACCGCAGTCCCCTGGTCCGAGAGGAGCCTAGACTCCAGTTTTGCTGATCAGAAGGAGGCTACCCTGTAAACAGCGAGGGGTGGTTCTACTGACCTCTGGGGGATGGGGGGTTACGAGTCACTTCCCATAAGGGTGGGGCAGGCGCCAAGCACTGCTTCCAGGATCTATCTGACAGCTCCCGCCTCGCAGGTGCAGGAGTAGAGAGCTCACAGCACAAGGGGCTCCTTTTCCCGTCTATCAGCTTGAGACCGGTCTAGGCCTCCTGCACCTCATCCCTATGATGTGAAGTCCACTCTGTGATCCCTGACCCCCTTCCCCCCCAGATGAGCATCATAAGCTGATGCAGAAGGGAGGACTTTACAAAGTCATGCAGAGTAGCTGTGGACAGTCAGAAGGGAACCCACGCCCTCAGCAGGTAGGGGCCCTCAGAGTCCTGAAGACTCCCCGTTGCTCAAGAGGTCCCAGAAATGAAGTTGTGGGGGTTCTCTTTCAAAAGAAAAAAAAGCAACTTCAAAAGTGGCATAAGACTGAGATTAGGACCCTGGTTCTGGAAGTTTCTCTGGGAGCACCAAAAGGCGGAATAAACTTCTCCTGCTTTGGGGGGTGGGGATCAGGAACCTCAGTTGCAATTCCAAATCGATTTCTGTGGGCGCTGGCTTCTAACTCGGCAGGGCGTGCAGCTTTTCTTTGGAGTGCCTAGTTTTTAAAACTCATTTAAACCAAATAAAGTCACAGCAAATGTGCCCCCCCCCTCTACACACACACGAAAAAGTGGCTACATAGGTCTTAAACCTTTCCTTCTTCCAGGTACTCAATTCACTGGATCCTAGGTAACAGCTGGAGAGGTCCAGATTATTACTGTCGTCAATAACCTCCTGTATCATTCGCCCTATCCTGATGTAGACCACATACATACATACATATATACATACATACATACATACATACATACATACATACATACATACATACACACACATATATACACACACTCACACCTAAAACACATGCATACATACATTCAGCACACTTATAACTCTCTCTCTCTCTCTCTCTCTCTCTCTCTCTCTCTCTCTCTCTCTCACACACACACACACACACACACACACACAGAGTGGCTGTTTGCTGATCCATGGACTCCCTGAATAGGCTCTGGAGCGATGACATGAGACGGCCAGAGATGACACTGAGGCAACAGTATCCCTCTGGCATCTGGATGGCATCTGGATGCAGGCAGCCCTAGCAGCTGGGTCCTGGGGCTCAGGGGTCTACAGGCTCAGATTCCTGAGACCCTCCCACCTGGAGGTCACGCAAGGTCCTGTATCTGCAAGACTTCCCAGCACTCTGCTTCAGCATCATATTAGGTTTCCTCCATGTGCCTCTGGAGCACGCTCACCCAGTGGCTTCTAGGTCAAAGTGTCAAGACTCACCTGTGTGCCGACACTGAGGCTGCAGCCTGTCCCTTCAGTTCCGGGCGATTGACATCATAGCCAGAGGGCTGACTGCTGCCCACGGAGACCCAGGCAGTCCCTTGAGGCTTGTCCCCGCAGCCAGCCAAATTCAGATGGAGTCATAGAAAGAGGCTGCGGGGTCACCTATTGACTTAGGTCAAGGCCACAGGGTCACTTCCGTGGGAGGACCACTTCAACCGAGTGGCTGAGTGACGGGTCTGCACGTGGGACAGCCTGTCTTGACAGAGCGTCGGTCAGCCTCAGAAAGCGATCCGGAGATGTTCTGTGAAGGCACCCGCAGCTCTGCTAGGTACTGACTGGGTGAGAGCTGCTCCAACCTCCAGTCTTTATTAAAAAAAAAAAAAAAAAAAAAAAAAAAAAAAAAAAAAAAAAAAAGTTCTTAACCGCTAGAGGGAGTCTGGACTACGCCTGCCCTCTTGAGGTCACTCCCAGAATTACAGCTCCGCACGGGGCTTCCAGCCCCATCCAGCGGGGCGAATCAGCCTTGGCTTCAGGACCCAGCGCTTGTTGTAAAGGCGCTGCTCGAAATACTTTTTGGACAGCTTCTGGGAAAATGGCAGCTAGGCCTGGCTTACGACCCACCCAAGGAAACCAGTCTTGTAAAATTTACTGTGGGACAGAACGGGCATTTCTCGATTTATTCAGCGAA